GGTGATTATAACCCCATTCACGTTTCCCGAGTCTTCTCCAGCTACGCCAATCTGCCGGGCACGATCACGCACGGCATGTACACAAGTGCTGCCGTCCGCAGCTACGTCGAGACTTGGGCAGCTGAGAACAACATCGGTCGTGTTCGCGGCTTCCATGTGTCTCTTGTCGGCATGGTTCTTCCTAACGACATGATCACGGTCAAGCTGCAGCATGTTGGTATGATCGCTGGTCGGAAAATCATCAAGGTTGAGGCTAGCAACAAGGAAACTGAAGACAAGGTGCTCCTGGGAGAAGCAGAGGTTGAACAGCCTGTAACTTCCTATGTCTTTACCGGACAGGGCTCGCAGGAGCAGGGGATGGGAATGGAACTCTACGGCACTAGTCCCGTTGCAAGGGAGGTTTGGGACCGCGCGGACCGCCATTTCATCGAGAACTATGGTCTTTCCATCATCGATATCGTGAAAAACAACCCGAAGGAGCTCACTGTGTATTTCGGTGGACCGCGTGGCAAAGCGATCCGTCAGAATTATATGGCGATGACTTTCGAGTCGGTCAATGCTGACGGGACTATCAAGTCCGAGAAGATCTTCAAGGGCATCGATGAGACTACTTCGTCGTACACCTATCGATCTCCGTCGGGCCTTCTTTCCGCGACTCAATTCACCCAACCGGCGTTGACCTTGATGGAGAAGGCAAGCTTTGAAGACATGCGCTCGAAGGGACTGGTCCAAAGAGACAGCAGCTTCGCCGGGCACTCGCTTGGTGAATATTCCGCCCTTGCTGCTCTTGCCGATGTCATGCCCATTGAAAGCTTGGTGTCCGTGGTGTTCTACCGCGGGTTGACCATGCAGGTCGCCGTCGATCGCGACGAGCAAGGACGCTCGAACTACTCGATGTGTGCTGTCAATCCCAGTCGCATTTCGAAAACATTCAATGAGCAGGCTCTGCAGTATGTTGTCGAGAACATCTCCGAGCAAACTAGCTGGCTATTGGAAATCGTCAACTACAATGTTGCAAACATGCAGTACGTTGCTGCTGGCGATGTAAGTTTCATCAACCCCTACCTAATCTATACGTAATCATCTAACACTCAACAGCTCCGTGCCCTTGACTGCCTGGGCAATCTCCTCAATCACCTGAAGGCCCAAAACATCGACATCCCTTCTTTGATGCAAACCATGTCTCTGGAAGATCTTAAGACTCATCTCGTGAGCATCATTCACGAGTGTGTGAAGATCACCGAAGCCAAACCGCGCCCTATCGACCTTCAGCGTGGCCAAGCTACGATCCCCCTGAAAGGAATCGACGTCCCCTTCCACAGTACCTTCCTTCGCTCGGGAGTGAAGCCCTTCCGCTCGTTCCTGCTCAAGAAGATCAACAAGACGACCATCGACCCCAGCAAATTGATCGGCAAGTACATTCCCAACGTGACGGCGCGACCCTTCGAAATCACCAAGGAATACTTCGAGGAAGTCTACAAGTTGACGAACTCTCCCCGCATCGCTCATATCCTAGCCAACTGGGAGAAGTTCGAAGAGGGAAGCGAGGGCACCACCACCGCCGCCCCCGCTTGAAACCCAGAGGAGCCGGTATGACGTTTTTGGCGAAATTGTCTTGCTTGCTGTGCCTTCAGTGCCTAGTTCGACATTCATGTCTGATACACTGCGTCCCAACAAGCATCGTCCGTTCCCCCCTGATATTGACCAGGGCCAATTTTTATTGTAATTTAGCTTAGAAATAGTTCATGCAGTTGTTTTTGTCTGCAGTTATGTCATCCAATCTACTATTAACTAGTTGGAGTATTTCCATCATCATATCTTATGTAGAAATAACTTTTTAGGCGTTGAAATCGTGCATGTGGCTGGACAGGCGTATGGCTATTTGTAATTTGTGTCTTGAGATCATCAGATTGTAAGAACTTTGCCGTTTGCAAGAAGTAAAGAAGAGAGAAGCAATAAAGAAAGCAAAAATTGTAACTGCCCGGTGTTTTTATGTAACGTGATTATGTATGGCGATTTGTTATACTAAACACAACTGAGATTTAAGGCCCACGGCCTGATCAAAGCAACTCCTAGACTGGCGACAACCCTGGCGACCTCAACCTTCCTTCAGCGACCCTGGTCGTAGGAGCCTGTCTTCTTTCCCATACACGCCAACGTCCTTGACGATCGCAATGAACCTCCGGTGGTTTTCCTTCGAGTCGCCGATGCGAGGGCGGAAGATCTTCAGCAGGTCGCTGCTCATGATACCAGACTGAGGGATTGCGGCATGGATCTCTGCGGGCGTTGGGAATGCTTGGCCTGATGGCCCTGGCGTTGAAAGACGAGCTGGGCCTTGATATGCAGTTAGAAAGGCGGACGCATTGTTAGGGATAAAAAAGTATGACACTTACCTCTATTTGACTCTGGGCTGCTGGCACGGCTGCCTGAGAAACTTCTACCGGCCAAAGGTGCAGGGCTGCCGGCTCTCGATCCTTGTGGAGTGGCATTCCGAGGTGTGGTCGATGGGGGATTGAGCTTGATCTTCTTCGTCTTTCCACTCTCACTCATTTCCCCGCCCGATCCTGCGCCAGCATCGGCTTCACTGCCTGAGCCAGCGCCACCTGTAGGTACATTCCGAACGCGTTTCTTACCAACCTGGTTAGAATCAGCAACAGATCTGGGTATAGAAACATATCCGGCTGAACCTACCGCTCCTGGCGAAGACACCGTAGGGGACATGGGGCGAGAGATTGGTTGTTGGGAAGCCGAAGGCTTGCCCTTCCCCTTCTTGCGGGATGTGTCTGTCCCACTCGCATCTGATATATTTGGAGAACCAAACCGCTTTCGAGATGCGGCAGCTGCACTTTTCTTGAAAGAGTCGGTATGTTTATGCCGGCTTGACGGTGTACTGTTGCCCTTCGAAGAAGCAGCTGGTTCCTTCTTGTTCTTTTCTTCTTCTGCTTTGCGTTCCTCTTCCTTCAACTTTTCGGTTTCACTGTCTTCGGAGCTCTAAATTTGGTTAGCGACAATACAAAATGATTTGGAAGTGAATCTGAATCTTACCTCCTCGTCGGTGTACGGATTAACATCAGAGCCACTGCTGTAATCAAAATTCTTTTCTCTTTTTTGGAGCGCTTTTCGCACCCCTTTCCCGAGAACACGGCGAGCTTCTTTCTCTTTCTTCTCCCTAACCTCCTCTTCCTCATACTCTTTCTCATCTTTGAGATCGAACACGTTGGCCTTCAGCTGATCTTGTTTGATCCGTTTTTCCGCTGCCTTGGCATCTTCATCTTCATTGAAAAGATCATCGTGCTCTTCGTCGTCGGCAAATCGATCTTCCTCGAAGTCCATTTCATCTCCCTGAAGTCCCTCGACGCCCGACGCCGCGCCCTGTTTACCTGCATATACTTTACGCTGCTTTGCAAATTGCTCCAGTTCCTTGCGCTGTGCCACCTCCTGCTGTTTTTCCATAAACCATCGCGGATCTTTCACCTTCTTGGCCATGAACTTTTCCGCTTCCTCGATGGTTAGGGCTTTGAACTGGTTCTTAGCATTGAACCTGTACCATTTTTCAACCGGTATCATCCTCATTTTGCCCGTATTTTCAAGAATGAAAACTGCATGGGTTTCGGACAAAGCAGCCTCGTAATTTCCCACCCAAACATTCTTATTATCAAAATCCTCCAAATGCCACGGAAGAGCTTCTTCGTATTTAATCCGCGTCCTAGCGATCTCCTCCGGCGTAAAATCTGTTTTGGAAACTTGCTGCGTCTTTTGTTTCGGCGCATTTGGCTTTTTAGGGGCTGACCCAGCTGAAGGAGCTATCTGTGCCAGATTGTCTGCGCGTTCCCTTTCACGGGCCGCTTTTCGAACCTCCAGGTCATCCCTTTCAGCTTCATCCACTTGGTTGCTAGAATCATCAGGCGTCTTCTGGAGTCCTTGGGCTTTCTCATCATTTGTCGCCTGGAACCTCGCTCTCGGATCTCGGCGCTGTAGCCTTACAGGTCTTGTGAACTGAGACTCATCGCGAGGATCAATCGTTTTTTTAGAGGCAAACTTCGCTATGTGGTGCTTCAAGCCCTCTCGTAACGCTCGCTTCGTGGTCACTAGAGGGTAATCTACATAAGATTCCGATAACAAGGGGCCGCTAAACCCGTTCGTGTAGAGATCGCCTGACGGAGTTTGCCTTCCCTTCTCGAGTTGACTCCCCGATGAGTGGTTGATGGGAGCAGGTCGAGGAGGAAGCGATTTCATTGCCAACCCGCTCCTTGCTGACGTTGGGCCAGGCGGTTTGGTAACTCTCTTCTTCGGCCGTACCAAGGGATCAGCTGCTTTCGGGCGGCGTATCCGCATAGGCGGGGCTCCATTTGAGCCGGTTGGAGTGCGCACATTGGCATCAGGAGTAGACGTGCTCATGGTACCGCTGAGGACGCAATCAAAATCGGGAGTTCGAAATCGGGACTTGGAGACACATATCTCGCAAAGCGGTGGAGATACTGATCGAATCGAAGGCGAGAGAATTAAGGTTTAGAGCGAAATGTTGAAAGACTCCGATACTGGTCGTGATCGGTTAAAAATATGATAGGATGAAGGACGATAAATGTGAAGGAGGTGTACGCAGGTGCCCAGGTACTCATTGAGCGTCAGAGTTGATTACTTCAGCATTCTCTCACGATTCATTAGTCATACGCACTAAGGCTGGCTGTGTTTTCAGCCGCAGTTCGGGGCTTCTCCGCTGGGAAACTATGGAAGATCTCACGAAAACCAATTTGAGAATTTGTTTTTAGAGATAATTAGCATGTTAGTATATGAAGGATATGTATTTCAGTTACTTGGTCAGTTGAAGTGAATTGTTTTCCCTCCCTCCCTTTATGAGACCCTTTCTTTACAGCACCAGCCACAAGCGGTGGCTCCCGTAACTATGCGGTCGTGACGGATGTATCCAATCCATAACAGAAGACCCACATGGCCCCGACACCCCGCCTAAGACAAGAGGGGCAAAGCTCCTGCGACTCTTATCAACGGGCTTTCTTCTCGTGCATACCTAGAGAGGGCCGTGAACTTTCTTTACATCGGATTTGGGATATAATAGTTATTTCTTGCCAAACATGCCCTCGGAATTAGAAGAGGTGAGTGATCAAGTATATTGAAGCCAATAAATTTGAGAGACTGTGTGGCTGACATGTGTTAAAAATTTTTCTTGCATCTTAGCTGGTGGAATTCCTTCATCATGGAAACACCCAAATTCGACAAATCGGTAATGCCAATCCTAGTGATCTAAACCATACGGATGCGCGCCTGTCTTGCGCGTGTCATATGTAGGATATGTCTGATAGGTTCAATTCTAGCGTGCGAGAATCTCGTCGGGTTTTCAACCGCCCAGCCAGAACTCTTCAAACGCCATCAACTTCTACCAGTGCGGGATTTGAAACTCCTTGTTCGCGACTACACTGTGAGAATCCTCAGATCACTGGGAACAGTAAATAGCAGATCTCGGCTTACTGACTTGATGCTTGATTCCGCTGCCTTGGACATAGCCTATCGCAAAAAATGCTCTTACAATATTAATTAACCTCTCTGCCGATGGGGAGGTGTTGGCTACCCTTGCAGAAGATGACGATTTTCTGGAAACACTTCTCGCTAAAGCGACGGTAAGTCTTTGGGATTGTCTTTCTGGGTTTGGGTGCTAACGCCCAGAAGAACGTGAAGGAACCCAATGTTGACGATGTCTTAATGCTGTTCGCCAATCTTGCTAAATCGGATACAATGAAGCGACTTCTCACACTCAAGCGACGGGTCCCCGAGGGTGTATCTACCTCCACCAACGCCATGGACCAATTAATGGACTGTTTCGTGAAAGGCGCCGAGGGGAGCCTAAACAAAAATGCCAACTACGACTATCTGTCGTATCTATTTGCCGACATCTCAAAATCGGAGGAAGGCCGGGCATATTTCACCACCAAACAAGACTATGATAACATAGTACCTGCCTCAAAACTTATTGTCTTCACGGAGCACAAAAGCACTATCCGGAGGAAGGGAGTCGCATCTACTCTGAAGAATGTTGCTTTTGACGTCTCTTTCCACAGTACGCTTCTCTCCGAGGACGAAACTAACCTTCTTCCGTACATATTGCTCCCTATCACGGGGCCAGAGGAATTTGCGGAAGAGGAAGCCTTGGAAATGTTGCCGGACCTCCAACTTTTGCCCCCGACAAGCAGAGAGACAGCGACACCAAAATCATTGCCACGCATCTCGATACGTTGCTGCTGTTAACAACAACCCGTGAAGGACGGGAAAAAATGAGAGCCGTCCAGGTTTACCCTATCGTTCGTGAATGCCACCTCCACGTCGATGACGACGAAGTTCGTGAGGCATGTGACAGGCTGGTCCAGGTCCTCAAGCGCGATGAAGATGACCAGGAAAATGGTGCTCAAGCGATCGAAGGTGCGGATACGGTCCCACATCCAGAGGTGAATGAAGATGAGAAGGTCGTGGAGCTGTTTTGAGCTCTCTATCCCTCTTAGGCGCGGCTGCGCATTCAACGGGAACAAATCTCTGGTTGTTTGAAGAACCCATCTGGACCTTATCTTTTCGGGAATGCGCCACCATAGAATCTCATTCTTGGCAATACCCAAAATTAAAGGCACAACAGAACCATGCGTGGCAGGATAAACAATCGAGGGGTCAATAGACAGTCCATTTCAGAACACGAAACGGGGGAAAGGGTATGATTTCATGAATTATGTGGGCTGAGGGACAATATTCCTGCATTCCCAGGCTCGGATAGATTTGGTTGGAATATATGGTTGTACATGCACATAAACATGCAAATAGACATTCCTTAAGTAAATATATCTCCCTCTTGTCTCAAAGGGAACGCAGATATGGACAACCAAGTGCGGTATCAGTCCATTAAATTGGGAGGGAGTGAGGGAGTAGACTTTGGTTTCTATGCAGGAAGTGGTCATACCGCAGAGCAATTGTTTCCACAGCTCCCACGGCCCTGGAAGAATGAGATAAAATTTACATACCATCATCTCATAACAGAACCTGTAGTTCAGTTTTTCTGCCATTGATCTATATAGCTGATTACAAGTGCTCTGTGTTAATGTCCAAAAAAGTGACGCCCAGAATACCTATCCTGCAGTTCAGCGCCAACTATTCAATGACTCTACCTCATCCCTTTACCGATGATGCATATGATCAACGACACCGTTGTACATGGTCACTAGGTAGTCTCTGGTAATACAAATGATATTAATGGTTCTATATACACAATATCGGCCTCGGGCTCATCTGCAAGAAGATCCTCCTACCCACTCGGAACTTCGAAGCCCGGATCAGCTGCTCCTGTCATGCCTGAATTGGCCTGATCTAAATGAACGGTAAGGCTTTCATTCGACTGGGTTGGAGAGGCCAGCCTAAAGTGGTTGTCAACAAGATGTTTAACCACCGGCCAACCATAGGCATTTGTGAACATTCGCCGAACAATGATATTATTATGTGCATCTGGTTCGAGTCGGACAAGGACCTTGCGCCACGACAGATCACGATGATAAGCCCTCGCGATTCTTTCCTCGACCTTGAGCCCATGCTCGGATGATCCTTTCCCATTTTGGGCCTGGTGGGAGGCCTCGGGGTGATCAGGCTGTGGCTTCGGTGCTTTTCTGGCAGTAGAACCAAGTGTCATAACCCGTCGATCTGTGATCGGAGGGGGTGGGATGTCATCAGGGTGATAGACACGATCATGGAAAATAGTCTGAGGCCTCGAAGCAGGATCGGCTATGAATTCAGCGGACGGTAGGGGTGGCATGAGGAGATCGCCGGCGGACTCAAGGAATGTAGTTCGCGGGGGTGTATATTCATCGCTAGGCCGTGTACGAGTAACTGACTCATGGCTATAGAATGTCGAGGATGCCCGAATTTCTATGTCGTCGTCAGGTTTGAGAGTCTGGCTCCGTTTGTGAAGTTTGTTTTGCTTATGTCCCGAGGGAAACTCCGTGGCCTCCTTTGGTCGGAATATGGAGAACAGGCCACTCAATGGACTTTCAGACGCAGATGTAGGTTTGATCCTGTTTTCCTTCGCTTTTGTATCCGCAGACATGCTGGATATTGCCAGTTTCTGCAATTGATTTTCCGACGATTGGTTACCATCCGTAAAGAGAGCAGTGTCTTCCTGTCGAGGTAAGTCCGCTCTCAAAACGTCTTCTTGAATCCCGTCACTGTCGACCTCTGTGTGTTTCAGTTCTATGCGATTAGCTGGGGAATTGGTTCGCGGAGACTGCGAGTTTGCGCCCGTCAATTCTGCCCAACCCCATTCGGCCATGGTACCAACAATTCCATTCCCTCTTCTAGCTTTTTCAACGCGGTCTAGTCCTTTCCAGTCAAGGAAATATAAACTGGATGTGCGCAGGGGCACGATCCCATCATTGACCACATTGGAATAGACAGTTCGTCGCTGAAATTTTTTCAGGGCCTCATGAGCTGGTCCGCATGGCAAAATTCTCAATAATGGCTTTGACCCTGCGTCTGAGCGGCCCTCTGCTTTCCCAGAATCGCCTCTGCCGCCAATGATGGATTCCCAGCCACTTCGCATTTTGGGAGCTGTCCAACTCAGGCCGAGATCTTGGCCCGTGCGACCAACAAGACCTAAGTCCAAGGCGAAACGGACATATAAAGGGTTCTCGTTGCTGAGTCCAAGGAATGGGGTTGCCAAAGCAATAAAGTTGATAGGCTTGATTTTTTCAAAAAATTCGGGGGAATGTTTCTTGATATATGCAATCGCGTAGGTTTGTATGAGACCCCCAAGGGAGTGTCCAACAAAGCTGATGCTTGTAATTTGATAAGTATGATCCTCCAGGGCTATATGTTCCGAGGAATGATCAGCGTTCATATGGGCAAGAGATGGCCCTTCAACCCCAATTTTCGATGAACCAAATGCACCGGCAAGGGGGTTTGTCTTGGTGTTTTTGCGAGGGATATGAGGTTGATCTGGATATGTCATGAACAAAATATATTTTGCGAGACGTTTCCCAAGATATTGGATTCCACGTTCAGTACGAACAGCGTTTCCAGGAAACCCTCGTACTATGGTCTCTTCGTCGTCGCATCCTCCGCAAAAGCTGCATCCATGGCTAAAGCAATTTCATAGTGGTCAGCTATCATAGATCAAATCAGAGAGATGTATAAATAGACAGCCTGCCTATTCCTGAGCGGACACTCACCTATCTGAAGATCCATCTGGTGCCGTCCTATTTTTGTTTCTTAATTCTTCTGCCTTCTCTTTGGTCTCCCTTGCGGCAGCGTCGATGCTTTCTTTCAAGTAGAGCATATCCGCCCCAAGGTTGCTATGTAACCCATGTGTCAACACAACAAGGTGGACTTTCTTCTTACACCTAGTTGTTTGTAGGTCTTTTGCGCAGGCAGAGGGATCTTGTTTTGTATCAGCCGTGGGTTGGAGAAAACTAGTGACGCCTGTTTCATCGGCTTCTTGATTAACACTGCATGCTGGGAATGACGGCGTGTTCCACAGGCTGACGGTGTCATCTACTTGTAATGTAAGAGAGTCAGAGAACACCCCATTTGTTGCAAATGTTTGTCTCCCTCTTGTCTCAGAAGACCAGTGATCGTCTAGCTGAGCTGGTCTAGTGCCTCCAACTTTTGGCGCTCCTTTTGCAGCAAATGACTCCACCGAAGTTTGGTCACGACCGACAAGTAGCTCAAAATTGACAGAAGCTGAATTTGAAAACAATACCTGCGATATGATCTCGATGACCCAGGTCACCTTACTGCTGTTTGGGGGTGCAGTAGTGACGGGGTCTTCTGGGTCTCGCCGCGCGACTTGAGGGATGGCAATAGTCGCACCCCAACTTCCACCGGCCTTCAGGTAAGGCTCAAACTGGGGGGCATTCTGGGTGTCTTGCCGTCCTAGTTTCACGTTCGGATCAAACGTAGACGGGTAACATGACACATAAAGTGTGTAAGGGCCATGGAGGTATGCTGCTCGCAATGGAATTGCGGAAGTATTCTTGACTTTGACGTATAACTCGGAAGGGGGTGGGCGGAAGTTGTCGGTTGCCGGATCATAAGTCAACGTATATCTGTCGAGAAAACCAGAGTCAGTATCATCAACAAGTTGTTCTAAATGTAGACCAAGAGTAATGATGGCATGATAAAAGGGGAGGTTGATATCGACTCGACGAACCTGACTACCTCTCCTACACGAACGCTACCAGCTTGATGTAGCAATAGCATTGTCTCCGTAGTGGCCTTCTTAGTACCGGTAGAGACGAGGGTCCACCCCGTAAGGGAGTGGATTGCTGAGATGTTTTCACGGCTGGGTAGAAATGTTCCCCGATCTGGTATCTGCGACGCGGAATAGATTCGGGGTGTGATGAGCATTGGTGACTGATGTTGCTGCTTTCATCTTCCGTGGTTCCGCTAGCGAGTTCGCTGGTGCATTTCCGGGGGCTTGTAGTAGATACACCTTTGCTAAGATAGGGTGGTTTGTAGTTACTTGGTTGACTAGAGAGCTCGCTAGTCGCTGCAAGTGAGCTAGTAATGTGCATGGACAAATTTGTACCCTCTGAGTGTTGATACTAGATAGTATATAATCATGTGTCTCCGACTTCCTCCTCCCAGGCTACTTGCCACTTGGCGAGGTCCATACCAACCACATGCTTGAAACCTTCCAAAACAATACCCGCCCAAATTCAGAGACAGAGACTACCAGAGAACTACGGAGAAAAGTGACAGATACAACACATCTTTTTGATTATCAAATTTGATTCCTGCATTTACACCGTTCAAGCTCTTTCAACATGGACTTATGCTATCAGGCCTGAGAGCCTCGTGTTACACAATGCGGGTGCTTAGTCAACCACCGACACCCCCTTAGTTAACTTTAACTAGTTTTGTTATATGATGTCAGGGTCTTAGTTGAGTGAGGGTAAGATTTAGTTCAGTGGTGTTGTAAATGCCATATAGAAGTACGGAGTACGAAGAATAGGGGGTATGTACGGAGTACCCGAAGGACTAATCGCTGATCTACAGACTTTGTACTCCGTGCGTCGCGGTGGCTATGTACAAAGGGGGTAGGGTGGTTGACTAAGGCATTCACATGGCGGCCTGACGCTGACACGTCTAACATCTTAACATGAGCATAGTTACTAACTACGGAGTACGGATACTCTGTATCTATCCCAGGGATGTCTGGGAGTCAATTGCCGGGCAAGGATACTGATTTCAACGTAGTTTGGTCTTTTCAAATTAGCAGCACGCTTCCTACAGTCCAAAATGGCACTTGGGTTTTTTTCTCTCTTTCAACCAGAAGAGCCATTATAAGTAAATAAACTCGGATAACTGACCTGTAACAAAACTTGTACTCTATCGACTTCTATCTCTCTGACAGCGCACTCTATATGTGGCCAGCTACCTGGCGTAATTGTCACTTTTTAGTCAGTGACGGATGAGAAAACATTCAATAAACACTTAGGCTCTTTGTGCATCTCCATCCAACCCCCGCATTCGATAACAAACACCTTCCCATCAATACACACCCGTCGCCATCTCTCGTCAGCTTCTTGAAAGTCAATTGTTACCCCCTCAATATCCGAGTAGAAGACTTCACTTTCGCGAATGTGGCCACCTCCTTGGTACGCTAAGGCCATCAAATCCATGGCGCGTTCAGGGGACACTGGGCCAAAATGAATCATCCTCAAGCTACCACCTAGGGGGATTGATGACGGCGATATCGTGAACTCTTTCTCAAGCCTAGGTACCAAGGTCACCAACACATACATGTGTTCGTGCTGCCTCATTATCTCCACGCCTTCCTGTCCCTGGCTGTCTATTTTCCTCGTGGTAATCGTCCCCCTGTATATGTGGGACTCAGAGCCATCTGAAGGATATAGGAGCTCTTTCGCAGCAATCTTGAACCGATCACTCCCGTAGGCACGGTATTCTGCGGTGTCGCTATCAGCAACCAGGGAAGCATGTAAACCCCAACTTGCAACAACAGCTCCGTAGGCCCTTGGATATTTGTCTTCTGTTGGGTCTCTATTTAACGAATTGCTGATGCGGTCCTCCCCAGAAACACGATGTGTCCCTGGCGAGAATTTGGCAGAGAATACAGGTATACCTGTTGGCTTTCCTCGCAGTAATGTCACCAAGCTGGTTGTAGACTTTGAGAGCAATTCCAAGGAATTTGCCATAGCATTCCCTGTGCCTGCCGGGATCAAGGCAATATCAGGAGATACTAGCACATTCTCTGTAGACTGATGAAACGAGTCGACGATGTCAGTGAGGCCCCCATCACCCGAAAGAAGTATAATTGTTTGGGCGACTCCTGCCTTGGCGCAAGGAATGAATTTTGACAAGCACAGTTCAGTGATGGTTTGCGCCGAGCTTGTTTCATGGGTCTCGTAGTGAGATAGGCCGATCTCCGCCAAGAGTGGTCTTAGGACACTGTTGAAAAAATCCAGAGCCGTACAAGTTCCAGAGAGAGTAGAGATAACAATATCAAGATTGCGATTATTGTCCAAGGAATTAAGATGATGAGGGGTCTTTGCCAGCAAATATTGTGACAGTAATTCCTGTGGTGGGGAAAGTAGTAGAATGGTCTGGAGCGATGTTTTGTGGACCAGCCCAGCACTCTCATCTTCGTGGTTCTTCTGAACGTATAGCAGAGTATAGCCCTCCTTGGCATGGTCATCCTTTGGTGGTAAGATACACACTATATCGTCAAGAGCGACAGTCGACTCGACTTGCCCCCGAAGTTTATAGCATTCGAGGAGGTTATCTGAGAGCCTGCAAGCACTCGGTGCTTTACTTGCAAGCGCATCTTCGGAACAGTGCGTCATTGCTATGATATTGCTTGTTCCAGAGGATGTATAATCACGATGTGGAGTTGTGTTGATATCTCCCAGATTAGATAAATGACTCAGTTCTTGGAGATCGTCAGATGAAGTACACTGCGGAATGGGAAAGAATCAGAATAGTTGGGGCGAGGCGCTCGATACTAAGGTATGGAGTAGTCCCAAGACTACTGCTTACTATGGATACACCTATCTCCCTGCTTAAGAAGCACACAGCCCGGCTGGGCCTACTACAGGTACCACCTATATGGATGGATGATTACTGCACCTTGCGAGCGATAAGTGGACCCTGGGTGGTGCTGCTATTGGCCCCAGCCTTACTATCACTTCGGAAAACTTCCCCCTGCTCCTGCTATCGGTAATGGTGCTTATAGACGGTACAATGGTGCCAGTCATGTGACTCATATGCCCAAGACGTACCTAAGCATTGTGCATGACAGAATCAATCACCTAAGTGACCTATATTGTGTAGTTGTGTATTCCATATCTGTCTTACCAGCCATACAAGGTCAGCCACACTTCGCAAGGAAGCCAAGCTACAAATGACTAGAAAGACTGTTCATGACCTAAACAGACCTCAGATAGCCGACAGAAAATGGGCGATAAATTCAATATAGTATTTCTGTTTATACTGGCAGTGGGCTCGTTGATTTCAAAGGTTGACTGATATAAAATTCGGGGTTAAATAATTTGCTTGATTCTCATGCCATGTGGTTTCCTACCGAAAAGGGATGACAAAAAGATCTTAATTTTTCAATACAATCCAAGTATTACAGGCCATCACAGAAACTTTCTATGTACAAATCACCCTAGCATGTCGAATTGATTTTCCACGCTCCGTGTGTAGCATGTACTGTGACCACATAGTGCATCTAATAAATGGTAATAAACAGTTTTACAAGTTAATTATAGCCTACAAGTTTTAAATCTACGTAGTGTAGGGTGACATATCGAGCAGGTATTGCCTCCAAAGAACAGTCACGTGGTCGGAAGTATTGTATTGAGCGCTCAACTCTCCCATCATGGTATCCCGAGAAGAAGATTTAATAGTCATACAGCATTCAACATAATAAGCGCAAAGATGGGTATTCCGCGGTTAACTCGCGTTATAAGCCCATTCTCCGAGCCGATCCTACTCGATGGCAGAAATATCACGCCACAAGGGGAATTACGATGTATCCAATCTGTCGTCATTGATGGCCCTAGTATGGTTTATCATGTTTTTTCACGATTATTAGCCTGGATGGACCCGAGCGTCCAGTCTCAGGATGCTCAGCCCACTTGTGATGAGGTGAGCCTGGGGGTTTTGATATATCTCCTGCACCTAAGCATTGTTGGGGTGAAAGTGTACATATGTGATAGCAGTATAATCTCTACGCCGCTAATTATACATAGGGAACAAATTTGTTTTGATGGAGCCTTACCCGCCTCAAAGCGAGAGACACGTGCGCTTCGGCTTGAGCACTCTAGAAAGAGACTTGAAACTTTCCAATCTAAATTCAAAACCTGGGCTCCATCATCGAGGAGAGCTCATGGACGCCGTATTGTCGATTTTGCAAACGTGCTACGAAGCCGAACTGTAACTGCGAGGTACAATGACTTTCCACACAATCCTTTCATTGTTCCAGCAGTTTTTGAAGACCTCAAGTCTCGCTGGGATCGGGCCAGGATTTCAGAAGTGGTTGATGGCATTTTCCAAAAGCCGCTGGCCCTTGATTGCGCAGATTTCCCTTGGGCAGACCGAACAGTAATGGTCCCAGGGGAAGCTGACAGCCAATGTGTTTACATGGCGAATAACACGGGCTCGTCCATATTGACGAATGACTCTGATCTAATCCTATATGATCTCCACTCAGCTGGATCCGTGGTGTTTCTGGACTCTATTAATTTATCTGACTGCAATACAGGTACATATCCGGATATGCAAATCAAAGCTATGGGAATATGTCCAGCCGCTGTTTCCAGCCGCCTTGGTGTCAGCGATCTTTTGTTTCTAGCTTACAATTTGAGAGACAATCCAAATATGGGGTTGACTGGGCTCATTCAATTATCCAAAACCACGTATGAGACTCAGTCAAACGACCCACGGTACCTCCTTTTCGCTGGTGAGTACATTGGCACGAACTTGGTGTACTTTCCTGGAGATTTAATGCACGCTCTACCCCAAAATCTCGACGCAAGGGTTTCAGAGCTATTTTGCCAGTGCAAAATACAACATGCCGGCATCTCAGATGAAATACCACACATGTACTTGCCGATCTTGTTCGAAGACCATATGAGAAGGTGCGGTTGGTGGGATAGCCGTCTTTATAGGCGCCTTGGATACTCTATCTTGAATGCTACTCTCTCTCCATCGGATAAACATGCTTACATCTACGAGTATGTGCGCCGGGGAGGAAGAATAATCCGGGACAGGATATCACTCGAGGACGAAGATTGGATTGCCGAAGAGACACAGGCTTTTTTGAGCCGATATCGATCGGTACAGAGCACAGTTGGAGGAGACACGAGCTCCCCATTCTTTTGGAGAGTATTGGCGCTGTATGAGTTATATGGCCCGGGAAGAGCATCCGCCTTTCTTAGTGCTGAACAGTTGAGCCAGTTTCTGAGGTTCGGCCGCATGGGTGTAGCAGTAGGGTGGGTTGATGTCCATCTCTCTGCACAGATCCAGTCAGTTCTTTACTCCCTCAGAATTCTCCAGCAATTGAATGGAATTTTTGTGGCCTCATCTGGTCATTTGGACTGTTTGAAATCCGTGCTTGGCGGTCTTCCACCCCTCCATGTTATCACGAGATCTTTGCAGGAGATAACAAAGGAATGCCTGTCTGGATTTGCCGTTGAACAGCTACTCGGTCAACTTTTTCCATCCTCAGAAGACAATGGTGTTACTGCAATCCCACTGCCCCAGGAAGCAACGCACTGCCTTGGTGAGAATGACACCTCGGCTGTGGCAGTGAACAGGCGGGCTGGGTCTAGTTTAAATCGGAAAGTACCTGAGAAGAGACACCGCAACATGTTTGAGCTTCTTTCGCAAGATTAAAATAACACCTCAATTCTATTTACTCTTTCAAAATTTGGGAGGCTATAGTCATGCTGCATTTATGTATGCCAAGACGTTAACACATATTACACTTAGAATATGCACACGAGCTAATTCTCATATCGTAGGCAAATTGCTTTGAGTGTATTGATTAATCAAGAACCAATCTACCGTGACGATCTGAGAAATCCCACCACACCTCGACAATACCCCACCAGTTCGGTCAATCGTCGCGCTTCAATCCGTTGCACACGGGTCCAGGTGTCGAGAGCATCTTTCAACACACTGTATTCGTCGGTACTTGATTCCGAGCATCTTTCAATGACGTCAGAGTGCGCCTTTAGGAACACTGCCATCCAAGCATTGACCAGCTCAAAATCCATCTTTGACCGTAGCCGACTCGACAATGCGCATACAAAGGCCGAGAGTTCGGATTGCCCTTCCCGAACCTGTGGACTCAGAGATCTTATCTCGACATCAACTTTTGCGGGGGGTAGACTCTTCAGGTGTTCGATAAAAGACTCAAAGTCTCCAGATAAGGACGCTGATTTTAATAGTGTGACGAAAGAGGTTTCGGAAGAATACATCTTGGCAATCCTCGACCGCTCAGTCACTGTACTTTCGGTCACCCGGTCAAGATCAACGTTGGTGTCACTTTCCAAAACATCATGTGCCGCGGGAAGGAAAAAGGGAGCCTTCTGTGGAGCTTTGGGAGGTTCAACTGGCTTATTGCGTTCCTTGTATAGAGGTCAGTAAGTGAATGGAAGAAGGGAATGTTGCGCATTTACCTTGATGATGTGCAGGTTGAGTAGTGTCTGCCATTTGCTTTTCGGAACTTTACTCAGTGTGAGCATGTCCCGGTCGAGTTGCTGCGAATTTAGCAACGGGCCCTCCACTTCGCTTGCCGAAGGAGCTTCGGAGAATGCAGCCTCAATTGCTCCTCCACCATTTTCTCCAGCGGCGGTATGAAAATCGACACTTGCAATATTACTCTCATCCAGGTTTTGGCATGATATTGGCGTGAAAAGTCCTCGGTTCGACCAAAGACTGACGCCTACTCCGTCGGCGTGGGCTGTGGCAAGAAATTCACCGGTTGACGACATGGCCAAAGCAGTGCACGTACTGGTAAGACGAAAGAGGTCGATGAGATGTCCTGTGGGCACATCCCACACTCGAACGACGGAGTCCATCGAGGTTGCAATTACCCACCTCCCATCGTAAGAGAATGTCAAGTCATTCACCTGGCCTACACACCCCCAAAACTCACGCACTACCTTTCTTGTTTCAAGGTCCACAACCCGAATTGAAAGATCATCACAGCTGACTGCGATGAGTTCGCTTGTAGTGCTGTACCGAAGGCCGGTGATTGATGTCATTGGATACCAGTTGAGTTCATCAATGAGGATTCCAGTAACAAAGTCCCAAAACTATGTTTTTCCAATTTCCAGGTCAGCACTGCTACCAAAATGCAGGTTCTCTTTTTCCTTACCTTGATCCTCCCATCGAGGCCACAACTGACAACAACTTGATTTAACCCATCGATTGCCAAACCAGTAACGGCTTTCGTGTGTTTTGTGTTGCTACTTTGTGAGCTGGGGTGCAATTTAGTCCCAGACTTAATATTTGCCCGTTGGTCGCGGGCGGGAAAGCTCTGCCGGTATGAGCCTGACTGCAAGTTGAACATATCAATCGAACCCGCAGCTGATCCGACTAAAGCAAAAGTGCCACAGTTTGATACGGCGACGCTCTATAGGCACCACCAGGCCCGGTCAGCTATGCTTTAGTAGACCGATATCAAAGGATAATAGCATACCTTGACTTCACTTCCATCGCTGGTTTCAAAGGCCCAACGTCCAGCTTTTTTCTTGCCCCAAAACCATGTCCGTGCATATTTATCGCCTCTGTGCCCAGTCACTATACTTTCCCAGCCTGTTTTGTTCGAGGCATCTGTATTGGTGACTCTTGGATTTGTCCAAACTGGACCTGATGTTGTAAGACCCATTCCGCCGTCACGATTGAGGGAGCAGGCAATGCAGGTTATCTCTGGAGTCCTCAGCGGCACATTTTGCACCGAGCCACCCACACCTTCCAACCCGATGACTTTTTTCGATCTCTGTTTCCCAGCACCTTGAGATATTTCGGTGTTCTGGCTGTCTTTTCGAACACTGAAGCCCCAGAGACCACCATCCTTGCTTGCACTTAGTAGCCATTTACCGCCGAATTCAGACCCGTCAGATGATGAGGGGAGGAACCCGAGAGAAGTGATTGCGGATGCATGGCCGCCTCTGGAATGAAGAGGTCTCGGAATAGGTGAAAATGGCACTTCATCAAAAATCCAGGTTTTTAGTGAATTATCCTTTCCAGATGAGACCAACAGAGGCTGCCCATCTAGAAACTGGATGTGGGTAACGCCAGACCCTGGTTCGTTTTCAGAAAGCAGATGAGCACTTCGAAGAACACCCATCACTCTGCCGCCGTTGTTCAGATCCCAAAGTTTGATATCCCCACTTTCTGAACTCGCAGTTGCCATGACACCCGCTTTTCGGCCATCGTCTCCAGAACCTAAACCATCGCTCCGGAATGCGAATGATGTGACCTTTTCCATCCGCGAGGAAGCTGGCTCCAGATGAAGAATGAAGCGGCCGGTTTCGATATTCCGAATGTCAATTGTACCGCTATCGTACGCAATAGCAAGAAGAGACAACACCGGAGTGGGCTGCAGTGCCGTGACAGCTCCACAATTAGAAGAAGGCGGAAGTATTGAGTAGATCAACTTCCCCGTTTTGACGTTCCAGATGTCGACTCCCCCATCATAGCGTCCGACGAAAACCTTGTTAATATATGTGGGCATAGTACAGATTTCGTTTGTGTATAGACCCCTCTCGGACGATTCTCGAGACGGTGGAGGCCTGAGAGTGGTGTAGTGATCGTGGGATATATTCTTCCATATTTGTATGCAGTTTTCACTGCAACCTACAACCCACGACCCGAAAACAAGTAATCGATTGACTGGCCCAGTACATTCAGCGGGTATATCCAAGGATGCGATTTTTTTTCCACGTTTGAAGACCCAGATGCCTCCGGGAGAATTAGGCCGGAGATTTCCCCATGCCGCAAAAATCTTATCTTGCCATGCACATGTGGCAGTAATTGTATCTGGGGTCAGAGGTCTCGTTATGAAGACCAGATTTAGTCCACGCCGTAAATCATAGGTTTGCAATGAGCGTCCTATGGAAGTTGTGATTTGGAACGTAGATTTGCCTAAGCGAACGGAGGTGAAGGGCACGGTTGTTGGAGACACCAGACCTAATGTCTGTATCGTATGAATTAGCTCTGATAACCAAGCGCGCCAATTGAACTTGGTATGCTTTGTTTGGAACTCATATGTATGAATAGAAAGAATATGGCCAGTCGTTATCTCAACTTACTCGAAATGGGGAAAAGATCTTAGACCCTGACTTTGGCGCACTGTGAATTTCATTGTCGATTGCTCTTTTCTGCCGCTTCAGTAGAGGCAGATGATATCCTTCCTGGTCAACAGATGGCATTTTTGTCGACTCAAGAGGTTTAAGGTCGATCATGTAGAGCCCTTTAAACTTGAACAAGATGATAGGGTTTTCTATCTCTTTCCCTTCGTTCTTTTTTTTTTTTTTTTTTTAGTTGTTCCGCTGTATCTTACCGGTATGCAAATACGAGTAAGTAACATACCCACTAAACTACTCTTGGACGGCCGTCGGTGGCTCACCCGGTTAAGTCTTCAGTCATGCCAAGAGCTTATCGCTCCAAGGCCAGGCTGGGTTGAGCCTTCCCTTCGGTGTTGCTTCCGTCGGGCGCGGTAAAATCCTCCCGAGTCGCCATCGTCATATCCGAGATAGGACTTCCGCACACTTAATACACAGCAATTGCATCATCTTCCATCGCATTTATCAACAGTAACCATTTCAAGAAGACCCATAATTCAGACAACAGTTCTTATCACCAATTACTCCGCCTGGCGTCGTTTTCAATGAATCGCGATCATGAGCACAACACCGACTTGTCGGCTGAGGTTGCCAGTGGCAATATAGTGGGCAATGCAAAGTTATCTGATCATGACGGCATAAGTCCTGATAATGCAGACAGAGCTTCCTCGAGTCGGCTTTACAAAGATACGGCATTTATTCCGTCCATGAGCAACTTGCATAGCACCCATAAGCAGCAATCGAGAAGTCATGGCATCGATCATATTCAAGATAACCAATGCATGCCATCCACTCGCTCATCTAGCAGGACACCGAGAAGATTGAGTGGCAGTACAGTTACAAGTTCTCTTAGTGAAATGGAGCCAGCACCTCCAGTCCTCGGAAAGATTGGCGTATGCGCTTTGGATGTGAAAGCTCGCAGCAAGCCGAGTCAGAACATCTTGACACGCCTTCAATCTAAAGGAGGGTTTGAAGTGATCGTTTTTGGTGATAAAGTCATTCTTGATGAGGCTGTAGAAAACTGGCCTGTTTGTGACTTCTTGATTGCTTTCTTCTCTGACGGATTTCCATTGGACAAGGCTATCGCATACGCTAAACTTCGAAAACCGTTTTGTGTGAATGATCTGCCAATGCAGAAGGTTCTGTGGGATCGTCGTCTGTGCTTGAAAATCCTAGACCAAATGAATGTTCCAACGCCAAAACGACTTGAAGTCAACCGCGATGGTGGGCCAACATTGGAGTCGCCAGAGCTTGCACAGCATGTTCATAGACTCGCAGGAGTCAAACTTGACGGGCCTGGAGATGGGACGGGCGGGGGCGCTGCGAAAACGAAAAGCGTATCAATGTCAGATGACGGTGATTCGTTGATCGTGGACGGGAAGACGTTCAGAAAGCCATTCGTCGAGAAACCGACCGACGGAGAAGATCACAATATCCACATATATTTCCCCAACGACCAACAGTATGGTGGTGGTGGCAGAAAGCTTTTTCGAAAAGTGGGCAATAAAAGTTCCGAATATGACCCTCATCTTACCATTCCCCGGTCGATAACAGATCAGGGCGCCAGCTACATCTATGAGCAGTTCTTGAGGGTGGATAACTCCGAGGACGTCAAAGCTTATACCGTCGGTCCAGAGTACTGCCATGCAGAAACAAGGAAGTCACCAGTGGTTGATGGGCTCGTTCGGCGAAATACACACGGTAAAGAGCTGAGATATATAACGAATTTGAGCAAGGATGAAGCTTTAATTGCTTCGAAAATATCCAACGGTTTCGGCCAGCGAATCTGCGGCTTTGACATGCTACGGGTTGGGGATCGAAGCTACGTAATAGACGTCAATGGATGGAGTTTTGTCAAAGACAACAACGATTACTATGATCGATGTGCTAGCATCCTCCGCGACACTTTCCTTAGTGAAAAGCGGAGGCTTTCCGAAGTTGTTGACACGATCTCCTCCGATGCCGGCCATACTTGGAGGCCTTCTGTCTCACATAGACACGCGCTGAAAACTCTACTGAAACCGCCAAGTACATCAAAACTTTACGGGAACCAGCAGCACAACAGGACCTCTGACAATGACTTGCCTGAAGCTCTTACTGCAGGACTTGTCGAACCGCCTGGAAAGGAAAGTCCAGATGCTGGCAAAATCGCCAGAAATACTACAGCAAAGGACAATCACCCAAACCCCACTAGCTACACGGTGCAACACGGCAAGCCACCGGTTGGAATTATGGACGCACCCAACGAAGGTGCTCCTCCACCTCCAGCCTCCAAGCACTCTTGGAAATTGAAGGGCATGGTAGCCGTCATTAGACATGCAGATCGCACACCAAAACAAAAATTCAAGTTCACCTTCCACAGTCAGCCGTTTATTGATCTATTGAAAGGGCATCAGGAAGAAGTGGTGATCAAAGGGAAGGCTGCACTGGCCAGTGTTTCTGATGCTGTCAGAGTCGCAATGGCTCAGGAACTCGAAGATATGGATAAATTGAAATTACTCCGCACATCTCTCGACAAAAAAGGCGGCTGGCCTGGAACTAAAGTTCAAATCAAGCCGATGTTTCGCAAAAGAACCCCCGACGAACTTCATGGGGGAGAATCAAATGTTCGAAACATTTCAGAAAGTTGCCCGAGAGATAAGAGCTTGAGCAGGTCTCAAACCCGGAGTGACTCGATATCTGGTGCCACTTTCTCGAGGTTCTCTGCTGCCGAAAATGACCTTATCCTTGATAAACTTCAACTTGTCATTAAATGGGGTGGGGAGCCAACTCATGCTGCTCGTTACCAGTCACAGGACCTAGGACTCAACATCCGTGATGACCTGAAATTGATGAACAAAGAAGCACTGAACAATGTCCGGATATTCACTAGCTCGGAACGACGTGTAAGCACCAGCGGTAAGTAGCTTTGCACCATTGGTTTTGGCATATAACAAGCTAATTGACTTTTTTGCAGCTCAAATTTGGGCTTGCTCTTTTCTGGATCAAAAGGAACTTCCGGAGGGATTCATACAAGTACGGAAGGATCTCTTAGATGACTCCAACGCTGCAAAAGACCTTATGGATAAGGTAAAAAAGAAGCTGAAACTGCTTCTAAGAGAAGGCTCTGCCCCATCTCAGTTCACCTGGCCGAAGGATAATATCCCCGAACCCTCAGTCGTCTTGGCTACTGTTGTTGAGCTGATGAAGTTCCATCGAGACGTTATGCGTCACAATTTTCGAAGACTTGATAATAATGCTTCACATGGCCGACCAGCAACGACCCCTGCAGGTTCTTCTCCTAGTGTTTTCACTGAGAACGCCGATATCTCTTCTATTCAAGGGCGATGGTGCACCGGCGAGGACCCCATGCTTTTTAAGGAGAGATGGGAGAAATTATTTGCCGAGTTTTGTGATACGGAAAAGGTCGATCCTAGTAAACTTTCGGAGCTATACGATAGCATGAAGTTCGATGCTCTCCACAATCGGCAATTTCTAGAGTGGGTTTTCATGCCCCCTGATGACGAAAGCTCCGAGTCATTCGAGGACATTAGATCGAACAGCGATGTGAACACAGACAGGAGTGGAGAGCATGGAGATAATTCGACATTCGCTCGCCGATTTAGTCTCAGGAAAAGGCTGCATGCTTTTGAACCAATCCCACACCTACGAGCCCTTGATGATTCTTACGATCACTACTTCAAATTATACCCAGGTGCTAGCTCCACAAAGGCCAAAGTGGACGCGAGACTGTCAAAATTGAGAGAGCTATACAAACTGGCTAAGGTCTTGTTTGACTACGTAACACCTCAGGAATACGGCATTACAGATACAGAAAAATTGGAGATTGGCCTACTGACATCCTTACCCCTTCTTCAGGAGATTGTAAGGGATCTAGAAGAAGTGCAAGCCTCGACTGATGCGAAGTCATTTTTCTATTTTACCAAAGAGTCCCATATTTACACCCTTCTAAACTGCATCCTTGAAGGTGGTATACAGACTAAAATTGCCCGAACCGCCATTCCCGAGTTGGATTATTTGTCTCAGATCTGTTTTGAGCTTTATGAAGCCCGGGATTGCGAATCATCAACAAATTCTTACTCAATTCGAATTTCTATTAGCCCTGGGTGCCATGCATTTGACCCACTGGATGTGCAACTTGATGCTAGGCATGCCATCGGTTGTGCACCTAGACGAAGTTTGACAGCTCATAAAGATTGGAAGGAAGTCATCGAGACTCTCAAGGCTAAATTCAACACGTGAGTTATATTACATTGGCTACTGCCTACAGCACCAAAGGCTGGAGCCGGTTATAATTCATCTATTTCAGTGATAGAACTAACTTCCTACTGCAGTGTTGAACTTCCCAAATCATTTATTGCAGTGAATTTGAGTGACAAGCATGGGCCTAACACTTGAGGCTTGGTTTGTATACTGGTTGGTTGAAATATTTTAAGTACTCTTACATAAAATATTCTGCATAACATAATCATATTCATTTTGAATCCATGTGGATGTTTAGGCTGTCCCGGTTACACTAGTTATGGTAACATTATAGTATCCTTTGTGGTGCCAAGGTCATGGCGCTGGCTCCCGGATGACCCTGCGGTGGATCCGGGATTCCCTGCGCACGAGGGGATCCCCGAGAACGAGAAGCTGGCCAAGCAAGCCGCCCTGCGGGGGGGTAGCATTGGCGCGGAGCGACAGCCGCCCCCGGGAGCAGTGGGCAAGATTAGAGAGAATATATGGTATCAATATTACACAGGACCAGCTAGAGGACCAGCCATAACTTAGAACTATAGTAAAGTATGGAAGTCAAGCAGATATATAACAGCTATAATGTTATACTATACTATAAAGACAGAAGAGTGACAAGGTAAGGAATATAAAATCTTTTATACTAAAAAATGATATATTAAATTATTTTATAAGCTTATGATTTTTTAAGTATTTTTTTACATAGTTTATCTTATAATTATTATAATTATATTATTAATTCAAGTAAATATAATATTATTATTTTTTAAGTAAATTATTATTAGGTTACTATATATATTATAAAGTAGATATAAAATTAAAAAAGAAAGAATTTCTATAAGATTTTTATTAATATTAATAGTTTATTATAGATACTCTCAGGTACAAATATATATATATTATTCAATTAAGGATAATTTTATTTATAAAACTAATTACTTAAGTTATAATTTATAAGTTATATTCTTATATATTTATAAGCAGTGTCTACTGATACTAGGAAGAATTAAGAGTAGATATTATCTAGGCAGCTAATCCCCTACCTGATAATAAATATCTTTATAAAAGTAATAAAATATAAGAAAATAAAGATAATATAATTCAAAATAAATTACTTAGATCTTCTCCTAGTAATTCTTATAATTTATTATAAGTAATAAATATATATTAATTAGATACTAATTTATTATTAATTTATTATTTACTTATAAGAATGTCTTATATTTATCTTTATTAATATAAGTATTTAATTTATATTTTTAATTATAATAATTATCTCTTTTTCTTGAAGTATCTTGATACTAAGATAATAAGATTTTATAATTAATTAAATTAAAATATAAATAATTAATAAGTATTATTTTTATATAATCTAATTAGGCAAGTTAAAATAATAATAATAAATATCATAATAAATAATCTTAAGTCTTATTATTATTATTTAAGATAATAAGATGAATATTTTTATATTATTTATTTTATGAGATTTTTTTTTCTTTCTAACTTTTCTTACTAATAATTTTGTATATATATAATATTTATTTATTAGTTTATTAGTAAAATTAAGCTTAATTTATATTATAATCTTTAAATAATTATTATTATAATTTTTAAGTATAAAACTTCTTTAGGAGCTAGTCTCTTAATTAATATTAATATAAGTTATTATTATTTTTCTAGTAATTAAATAGCGTATTAATAAGAATAATAATATTATAATAATTAAAAGTATTTTCTTAATAATAAGTAACTAAAGAGTTTAATTAAGATTTTTAAGATATATCTTCTAGTTTCTTATATTTATTATTTTATTTATTAATATTTATTATTCTTATAAATTTTACATAATTATTAATTTAATAATAGATTTTTATTAGCTAATCTAGTCCTAACTATTAAAAAGAATAAAAAAAATATGATTTATTAATATTCTTATTTTACTTTATTATTAAATAAATATTAATATATAAATAAAGATTACTTATTTTTCTTCTAGTTCTTAGATAAGTATTATAAAATTCTTTTAATATTTTTATTACTAAAAAAGAATTAGAATTAAAGACTTGTATAATTATTTATATAAATTTTAAAAATATAAATATTATTATTAATAAAAAAAAGTATTTACTAGTACTTATTCTTTTTTATTTTATAATAAATAAAATATTAATTTTATCTTTTATTAAGTAGCTAAATATAATAATAATTTATATTAATAAAATATTTTTATTTTATTAATAATTTTTTTTTACTAGTCTAGTAAAAGATATTAACATTTTTATTATTAAATTATAATATTTTTTGATTAATAAATATAATATTAAAAATATTAGATTACTATTCTTATATTAATTAAAAAAAAATCTAGCTAATAAATTAGTAATAAAAAAATTATTAAGAATAATAAGAGTAATAATAACAATTAAAATAATTCAAATTTAATTAAATTTATTCTAAGCTTTAGGCTTAATAATAATTATTTTTATATAATTTTTAATATTTTTGTAATAAAATTTCTTCTTACTAGAAAGAAGAAAGAATAAAGTTATTAATTAATTTAAATATAATATATAAAGAAAAAAAGATCTTTTTAAGAAAGAATTTCTTAATTAATTTATTATATTTAATATTAATGGAATTTTATAAAAGAAATACTTACTTTTAAATATTATTATAATATACTTAGAGTATTTTTAAGATTTTTTTTTAGTTATTATAAAATTTTATAAGTCAGGAATTCTTTTTATTTAATTAAATATTATATTTTTAATAATAATTTTTATTAACTAGGATTAAATTTATTTTATTATTTTTTTTTAATTTTAATTATTAATTTTAATAGGCTAGGGATTTATAGATATTATATTAGATTTTTATAAATATTAAAATTTAAGTAAGTTAATATAAAAAATAAGATAAATATTATTTTGTCTTAAAAAATTATAATTAATATATTTATTAATTAATTATTTTATTAATCTTAAAAAGTCCTAAAAAATAACTATCTAATTTTTAATTAGATTATTAAATATACATATTTTTTATAAATAATAAGATTTTATTTCTAATCTTCAAAGCTATTAATATATAATATTTATTAAAAATTTTTCTTTATTTTTTATAGACTTTTTATAATTATTTCTTTAATTTTATATAAGTCTTATAAATTTTTTATATTATTTCTTAATACTTTATAATAATGTATTACTTATTAAGTTATAGTCTTATAATAATTCTAGTTTATATTTATAATATATAGAAAATAAGGACTTTTTATTAAATATATATTAAATTATGATTTATAAAACTTATAATTAATAAAAAAGTTAATCTAATTACTTATATTAATAATATTAATTTTTAAAATAAAAAACTTCAAATTATTATTCTTTTTTCTTAATTTTAATTGTTTTTTTTATTAAAGTTAATTAAAAATAATCTAGAGTAAGAAATTCTAGATTTTTATTCTTTTTATCTAAAATTGAATATATTAAATTCTAAGAATTACTTAAAATTAAGAATTTTAGTAGTAGTAGTAGTAGTAGTCCTTATTACTGTCAAGACCCTAGGATCCCTTGTTGCTTCTGCCGTACTAGTGTTGGTGACTTGGGTTGTTCGAGGTGAAGAGCGCCCTGCGGTCTTTCTATCAGCTATTAATAATAGAATTATACTAACCTAAGGCCTCACACAGTGGCCATACTAACTATATTAATTAATAAGGTGACCTGATGGTTTAAAGATAACTAATAAGTAATAAGAGAAGTAAGGCGTGTCAGGTACAAAAACCTGATTACTTAAGTTAAGTATAGATAAATAGAAACTAGACTGAATATATACTCAGACTTGTACTATATATTAAATATGACTAACTAAACTATAAATACAGGTAAATAAGTATTCTTATATATTCTTTATTTATCTACTTCTCTGTATATCTTCTAAGATAGATAATAAGATATATCTAATTAATATACTTGTCCCTGTATACTTTACTATATACTTTTTAAAGTAGATTCTTAAGTATATTATATTATATAACTTATATTTTTATTTATATAAGATTCTTAATTCTTTTATTAATTAATTAGTATTTAGCTTCTGCCTGACTATGCTATTTTTATAAGATATTAATCTTATTAAATTTTTATAATATTACTTCCTTCTCTTCTTAGTATTTTATTCTTGAAACTTTATAAAGATATATTCTTTTTCTTTTTTATTTTATTTCTTTTTAGCTATGTCTTTTTACTATATTAACCTAAGTTTTTAACTACTTAGTATAATATTAAAAGATTCTTTATAATAGTTATATTATCTCTGATTCTTGTGCCTTTTGTAATAATTATAATCTTAATTATATAATAAATCTTAAGAATTAAAATTATACTGCCTGTACTTATTATAATTATTAGTATAAAAAGTATTTTTATAATAAATAAGAGTGGTAGTTAATTTATAATTAATATAATAAGATTAATTATAAAATTCAAGAAGCTGAAGAGGCTTTTATCTAATTATTTACTAAGTTACTTTACTTATAGAAATAATAAAAATTCCTTAAAGAGTGTTATTCTAAAATATTAGAGTATAATTCTGTTATTATAGCTTATCTAGATATAAAGAATTTATTAAGTGCTGAGAATCTTTAAGAGCTAGATTATCTAGTTAATACCTAGGATAGTGCTTAACTTATTATAATATTAGATATTTCTAGTTTCTTTTAGATAATAAATAATTCTTCTTTTTAATTAAGTATTAATTTATTTACTAGTAGTATTACTAAACTAGCTAGTAATAGCTTATTAAATTCTTAATAGGCTTTTATATATTTTCTAAGATATTATAATCTTTTTATTTAATTAGATAAAGTAATTTCTTGCTAACTTATTTATCTCTCAGAATTTTCTTAATTTTATATTCTTATTTAATACTTTTATTAATTTTTATATTTATTATAATTTAGCTTTCCTTTAGTACTAGTTCTAATAATAAAATATAAAAGACTAGGTATATATAGCATATTAATTCTAGTAGTTTTAGCTAATAATTAACTATTTTTAATTTTTTTTTAATAATAAATAGTCCTAATTTTTAGTAGTTAAGTTTCTAACTTAATTATTTAGTTTTAATATTTTTATAGAGTAGGAATATCTTTTTCCCCT